GAAGCTGGTTTTATATGGAAGTTTATTAATAAATTATTGAAATGCGTATTTATCATTCATCTTTAAGGTTTATAATACTTTGCCGAGAACCTGACCACTTTTCAAAACGATCCACAGCGCTCTTCCATCTCATTGTAGTAAAACACCTGTTGAATTGGTCGTACTTGTTTCATTTACGTTTTCCTTCTCTTTTGGGTAACGAGCCTTCAGTGATATCAAGTTTGTGGTGTTTAGTTGAAGCAAAAGTATTGAATTTGAGGGCAAGAGCGTCGTTTACTATCCTGTAAACTTATAAATGAACACCTTTAGTAAACCCTGCTTTCACGTCCCAAATTCTTCCCACTGTCACATTTGTTTTTTCGTTAGCAAACCGACGAATTCTGTACCAATCTAAGATCTTTGTGTAAACAGGAGTATTTGATTACATAATGTGATGATACTCTCCTACGAATTTTTTGCCACCATGAGATTCAAGGTCATTGTAGATCTTCCTCGGATTGAACACTGGTCACGTACTCACCAGTCATTTGTCAACTATTTAAATAACAAGTTCAAAAAACGTTGCTAATTTATTAACGGATTAAATTAAAACCAGTGCCTTGTTCCACTTAATACTTTCTCTGAAGGACAGATTTTGTTGACCGTTTATTTGCGTATGAAGCTCCTAAGAAGCGACTATGGATTATCTTTATGAATGTGGCCTAGTAATACTTGAAAGATTTTATGTTCAATCTACAATGACAGATGGGTATTTGAAATTTTTCACAATCAGAAAACAACGTGTCGTCATGCATTTGGGTTTTTTCTTCAACGCTTTAAGGTGGCATTGAGAAATAAACTGTTTATCACTTTACGCCAGGTCTTAGTACGAACGAGATCAGTTTCTCTAGCGAAGAACTGCTTTTCATTTTCAGTCGTTCCCTTCATGTTCGAATAAAATATTATTTTTTAGGTGGTGCTTCCTTGTAATTTACAACGCATGATATGGAACGCGCAGAAAATATTCCGAATCAACACACGTGCTCCGGCTGACTTGCATCCACTAACTGTCATTAATGGTAAGTTTGCGATGCTGTAAGCGGGGGTCTTGCCGATGAAATGTTTGATTCTTTCTTTTCTAGGCGTGAGAGAATTGAGCAAAAAGTTGGTGATCGTTAAAGGTGACGATCGCATATCGAAACAGGCCCAGTATAATGCGACTTTGCTGCTGAACTGTCTGCTGCGCAGTACGTTGTCCACGAAACGCATGGCAGAAGAATTCAAGTTGAACGCAGAGGCTTTCGAGTGGCTGCTTGGCGAAATAGAAACGCGTTTTCAACAGGCCCAGGTTTGTATAAATCTGTTTGGCCTTCCTCCCCTTGTTATTAATTACAGTTAATTTACTCAGCCTGGTCAATTATTTAATGTAATCTGGTCATCGCTGTTTACGCCATTGACTTGACAAATGCTAACAAAGCAGGGGAGACAAAAATTATATCGAAGAATCTGTAGAGTAGGCGCGCAATAAATTTTGGTTAAATTTATTACATCATTTTCCTGAATATTACTTCATTTCTTTTCCGTAGATGATTGGATAGGGGTTACTTCACTTCATTAGAGCTTGTAAGTTTAATCGAAAGATTTTGAATTCAAACACCAGTTGCGACACTCGCTTTTCACCATTTTCAGGTAGATAAATAATTATCACTTTGAAAAAGCAAATAAAAAAATTACAAGATGCTTTGCCACATAGCTGTGTCGACTAGGGAACCTTTGGCTTACTATAGAAATGGAGTCGCACCGTCAGTTTCTAAGCTCCATATAAAGAATGGGTGCCGCACCATCATGGAAATTGAAATCGACATCCCAAAGGCACGACAAACTAGTAGAATTATTAGTATCCATGGTGTAGATAACTTAGAAAATCATGAATTGTTTTGTCAACTTTGCTAATGCTTTTCCTTTTAAATATTGCAGTTCCAGGTAGAAAAAGGTTTTCCTTATATTTTTGAGTTATATAATGCAGAAAATCACGGCTTTGTTGATCTTCATTGAAATGTTCTAGGTTCAACCTGGTGAAATGGTAGGACCACTCGCTGCTCAGTCTCTTGGTGAACCTGCTACTCAGATGACCTTAAACACGTTTCATTATGCTGGCGTGTCTGCTAAGAACGTCACGCTTGGCGTTCCGCGGTTAAAAGAAATCATTAACGTCAGCAAGAAGCCGAAAACGCCTAGTTTAACGGTGTTTCTTACAGGGTCAGCATCGAGAGATGCTGAGAAAGCGAAGGTACATGCCATAGTGACATCAGCGACTGTTCTTTACAATGTTTGATTCTGTAGGATGTGCTTTGCCGCCTTGAGCATACAACTCTCCGACGCGTCACTGCAAATACGGCTATCTACTATGACCCTGACCCGAAAAACACGGTGATCGCCGAGGATCAAGAGTGGGTGAATATATTCTACGAAATGCCAGACTTCGATCCTTCTCTTGCGTCTCCATGGTTGTTGCGCATCGAGCTCGATCGTAAGAGGTAAAGTGCTCGATCTGTGTTCTTTCTATTCGGAAAAATTTATGCGTTTGCGTATTT